GAGCGTACCACTCACGAAGCTGGCGAGGCGTGAGAGACACGCGAGAGGGTCGCGGGAGCTGCATCTGGCCGCCACCACGAATAGAAGCAGCAGGAGTGGTAGTAGGAGTAGCGTCGCCACCCCTACAGCCCCAACCAGCGTACCACTCACGCAGCTGCTGGGGCGTGAGGGACTCACGCCGGCGTCGCTGGGGCTGCATCTGGCTCCGCAAGTAGAAGCAGGAGCAGGACTAGCAGCAGGGAGGCAGGCAGCCAGGCAAGCCAAAAGGCAGGCAGGCAGGCAAGCAGGCGACGCGCAGCGTGCTAGCAGGGCAAGAGCTCACCAGTGTGGGAATAGTAGGCTCGGCGACTCAGCGGCTCGGCAGCTCGGCGGCTCGGCGGCTCGGGCAACTCGGGCGGCTCGGCGGCAAGGCGGCTCAGCAGCAACTGCAGCTCAGCAGCTCGGTGACTCGGCGGCTCGGCGGCAGGGCGGCTCGGCAGCAACTGCAGCTCAGCAGCTCAGCGACCCGGCGGCTCGGCGGCAGGGCGGCTCGGCTGTGGGGCGGCTCGGCTGTGGGGCGGCTCGGCTGCTGCAGGTGAGCGGCTCGGCTGCTGCAGTGGGAGAGGAAGGAGGAGGAGAAGCAGGGGAGGCCACACACCTGCCACCCCTCTGCTGGCCTCTCCCGTCGCCTGTCGAGGCGACCTGAGCTTGCCGCAAGCGGCCCCCTCAGGTCGCCTCGACAGGCGACGGGAAAAGGGGGGGTGGGTGGTGGGGGGGCCGGTAGGTGCAGCGGCGGGGCCAGCAGGTGCAGTTGCGGGGCCGGTAGAAGGGGACGGCAGGAGCCGTCAGGAGGGGACGGCGGGGCCGTCAGGAAGGGACGGCGGGGCCGTCACGAAGGGACGGCGGGGCCGTCAGGAGGTGACCGGGCCGCGACGGGGGCAGGCGGCGGGGCCGCGTAAGGGCCTGGGCGGGGCCGTGACAGAGCCGTCGGCGGGGCCGCGTGAAAGCCGGGGCGGGGCCGCGTAGAAGCCGGGGCGGGGCCGCGCGAGAGCAGGCGGCGGGGCCGCGAAGGAGCCGGGGCGGGGCCGCGTGAGAGCAGGCGGCGGAGCCGCGTAAGGGCCTGGGCGGGGCCGCGACAAAGCCGTCGGCGGGGCCGCGTGAAAGCCGGGGCGGGGCCGCGTAGAAGCCGGGGCGGGGCCGCGCGAGAGCAGGCGGCGGGGCCGCGAAGGAGCCGGGGCGGGGCCGCGTGAGAGCAGGCGGCGGAGCCGCGTAAGGGCCTGGGCGGGGCCGCGACAAAGCCGTCGGCGGGGCCGCGTGAAAGCCGGGGCGGGGCCGCGTAGAAGCCGGGGCGGGGCCGCGCGAGAGTAGGCGGCGGGGCCGCGAAGGAGCCGGGGCGGGGCCGCGTGAGAGCAGGCGGCGGAGCCGCGTAAGGGCCTGGGCGGGGCCGCGACAAAGCCGTCGGCGGGGCCGCGTGAAAGCCGGGGCGGGGCCGCGTAGAAGCCGGGGCGGGGCCGCGCGAGAGCAGGCGGCGGGGCCGCGAAGGAGCCGGGGCGGGGCCGCGTGAGAGCAGGCGGCGGAGCCGCGTAAGGGCCTGGGCGGGGCCGCGACAAAGCCGTCGGCGGGGCCGCGTGAAAGCCGGGGCGGGGCCGCGTAGAAGCCGGGGCGGGGCCGCGCGAGAGCAGGCGGCGGGGCCGCGAAGGAGCCGGGGCGGGGCCGCGTGAGAGCAGGCGGCGGAGCCGCGTAAGGGCCTGGGCGGGGCCGCGACAAAGCCGTCGGCGGGGCCGCGTGAAAGCCGGGGCGGGGCCGCGTAGAAGCCGGGGCGGGGCCGCGCGAGAGCAGGCGGCGGGGCCGCGAAGGAGCCGGGGCGGGGCCGCGTGAGAGCAGGCGGCGGAGCCGCGTAAGGGCCTGGGCGGGGCCGCGACAAAGCCGTCGGCGGGGCCGCGTGAAAGCCGGGGCGGGGCCGCGTAGAAGCCGGGGCGGGGCCGCGCGAGAGCAGGCGGCGGGGCCGCGAAGGAGCCGGGGCGGGGCCGCGTGAGAGCAGGCGGCGGGGCCGCGACAGAGAGGGCGGCGGGGCCGCGTCAGTGAAGGCGGCGGGGCCGCAGGGGAAATGGCGACCCGAGGGGTCGCTAAAAAAAAAGATCGCGCCTCGGGGGGCGCTTCGGTGGGCCCAAAAAAAAAACGGTCCGTAGAAGGACCCGCTCTATACCATGTGAGAATAAGCGAACAGGAATGGATCAACTAGAAGTGAAAAGAGTACAAGTAGTAAACCCTAGAATTGTGTACCCCCTATAGGCTAACCCACTGTAGCCTACACAAGTATAACATATATAATGTTTGACACATCTCACCTTCATTCATGATCACGTGAGGAAGCACCTTGAGCTCGCAAATGCACGCATTGTCAGAACATTATAGCTTATGCTTTTGTGTAGGCTGTAGTCGAAAGCCTATATGGGGTACAACCGAATTAGGGTTAGTACTTGTACCCAATTCTTTCATAGTGCATTCACTCTCGTTTCTTCACATCGTATCAGAGCGGTCTCGGGTTCGATTCCCGGTGTATGCACATGTAGGCCGTTGCCGCTGTGCTTTGTCGTGGGCCTCCCAGTGTGGGGGGGTGTCAGTAGATCTGCACTGTGGATGCCCGATTGATCCTGGAGAGGGTTACAGGCGCGTTCGCTTGGGGGGTTATGGGCGCATTGACCCGCTACTGAAACAAGCCCTTTTATCCCAATGGTCTAGTGGTTGGGATTCTGACACGCACCACCAACCGTAGTCGTTGTGAGGTGTCGTTTTCAGTTGGCGACCGTGTCCTTCTCGGCAGCCGTAACCTCCGACTGCCACAGGACAGCAAGCTGTCAGAATATTATGTTTCTCTAGTCTGCAGTGGGGTACTCTATAGTGAGTACAACCCTTTTAGGGTTGGCTATATGTATCCCAATGTTTGCTAGTGAATCCCCTCCTCTCTTCTTCATTCCTCATTCTTCACACAAGCTTAGCCCTCGTTTCATTGGTCAATTCGTCATTGAGCGCGCACTAGGTCAAGTTGCATACCGCCTTCGCCTTCCCGCTCATTTCCGCATGCACCCGTCATTCCATGTGTCGCTTCTTCGTCCTTACACCGATCCCGATGCCACCTTCTCGGGCCGTGACCGCACTCCAATGCCGGTAGCTGTTGACACTGACGAGCCCGACTACCAGATCCAGCGCATCCTCAGGCACTGTCGCCGTCTCCAGGGGGGTGTCCCTTTCATCGACTTCTTGGTTCGTTGGCGTGGTTACGACACAGCAGACGACAGCTGGGTTCCTTCGTCCTCGCTGTCTCCCAACAACGCTTGCCTCCAAGCGTACCTCCAGTCTGCAGGCGCCGCGGACGTCGCCTCTTTGGGAGGGGGGTAGTGTTAAGGGGGGATTTACTGTTCATTCCGAACAGTACTCTCCAACTCATCCTTATCCTTATCGTCCTTGATTTCCTAGTGCCACGTGGCACTCTACCTTTCTTGCCTTCAATTCCTAGTCCCACGAAGTACTTTCCGACATTCGATCTTGCATGCTATATCAACCTTGCTTGGATTTGCCATTATCAATCAATTCTCATTCAACCCTTCAATTACTGAGTTACTTCTTCGCCCATTTCGCCAACACTCTCTTTCGTCAAAGTCTTCCGCCACGCTTATCCTCAATCTAGTCAACCCCGCTATTCCTTAGCGGATTTAGGCCAAGGGGCCTAACACTTATGAAGATAAGAGATCAAGTGTAGTAGAGGTTTCATGCACTGCATACCGAAAATGTGCTTCTCCACTCTAATGTGCGATTGTTTTGCGATTGAGTGCTTCCGAATCTCACATCGAGGATGGATGTGTTTCTCCCCTTCCTGAAAACTTTGCGCTGATTCGTGCATCTGTTCGTGCGTGGCATTCATGGACGGAAGGCAAACTCCACGTGTATTTCAATATCTCGCCTGCCTTTGACCTAGGTGGCATCGGTTTCCCTCCACACAGGCCCACTGGCTGGTCAGAAAGTCGAACCGCAAATTTTCATAACGCGGCTCGTCTGGTTGTTCCTCGCCCAAACCAGCTCCATTGAAGCAGCCCTCTCATTCGCCACGATATGTCGCTTCTGCGCTGCGAAATGCGAAACCTGTCGCAATCCACACAGCCGGTCTCCGTCGACGTTTCGTCAAAAGAGGGACAACACCAATGTAATTGTCTGATTCCGATTCCCGACAGCGAATCAGCAGCAGCCCAGCATAATCTTCATATTAGGGCATTTTCTAGGAACCATTCATTACTCGTCTCCCATCTCTGTTCCTAAAAATTGTTCTACAAGAATGAACGACCGCTTTGCGTAGCTCACTTTTAGGAGCGATCTCGTCCTTAGCAGCGTCAGTCCTTACCGAAGGTGAGGCAAGAGTTAACTTCACGAGAAATAATTTGTCGTCGTTCCGCAAGCCTTCTAAGAATAAAGCTCCCTCGGTCAACCTTCAAGCCGTCATGGCCACGTCAGCAGCAAATACCGCCCAAATATGTGCGCGTTGCACGCTGCCAGCGTCGCACAGTCAGACAGTGTCGCACGGTAGTAAGCTAGAGATGGCGACGATCGTAGGAGCTACTGGACGGCCATCGCATGTTACCACAGCGTCTTCTCGACAACGTAGTAGCCGGCGGTCCGATGGCCAATTCCGCTCCGGCGCTTCTGTGTTGTCGGGAAATAAGAGCGGAAGATTTGCCGTTGCGATGCCCAATGGCTCTGCTTCCCAGCAGACCAACGTTACACTGCCGAGGATTAAGCTTATATCGAGGGCTCCAGGCCAGCCCGCGTCGCGGCGGCTGTCTGTGCGAGCCTCGGCAGTTTCGAGGGACGGCGGCTCGCGCGAGGTGTGGGAGGTGCCGCCGTCGTGGAGCGATTTTCCTATCGGTAAGATCTTAAAATACTAAGCAATTACTAGTAAAACCGAGAAATAATTATATGAAGCAAGCTGTCAGTACAATACTTATTAAGATCTTAATATTAATATTAATATGAAGACATTTTCCCCGGCCCCGCGGAGTGCGCAATAGAGCGCGCGCGCGCGCCTCCAATGCGCGTGCCCAAAGCTTCTCAATTTCCGCCTTTCCCTTCTACGCCGTACATTCCGGCCTATTGCAGGCGTGGTGGTACTGGTCGCGATAGAGCACGCGCTCTCCGCCACTGCGCGCGCCGACAGCTTCCCACTCCGCTTCCCCATTGTCCCCTTACCCCCTCCTCTTCCCCGGTTTCCCGTTTCCCCCATTCCCCCATCCCCCCTACCCCTTGCAGTGCGCTCTATTGCGGGCGTGGCGGTACTGTTTGCAATAGAGCGCGCGCTCGCCGCCACTGCGCGCACCTACAGCTTCCCCGTGCCCGCGCCCGTGCTGATGCTGGCGGGAATCGGCGCGCTCATGGCAACCGGGCTTAAAGAGGCGGAGATGGGTGAGTGGTTGTTGGGGAAGAGAGAAGAGGGGGAGGGGGGAGTTGGAGGGGGATTGGCGGAAATCGGCGCGCTTATGGCGACGGAATTAATGAGGCGGAGATGGTTGTGAGTGACTGGGGGAAGAGAGGGAAGAGGGAAAGGGGAGCCCTTGGCAGGAGTGAGGTGCGTTGGTGAAGATGGGCAGAATTGGCGTGAAAGCGAATGAAGCAGTAGCGAGCACGAGACGGAGCGGGAATGTCGCACTTGAAGAGGAGGGCAGGGTGGGGTAAGGAGATGGGTTGGGAGTATAGGCATGCGTAGGAGAGAGGTGAATTTCAATCAGCTTAATTTAACGTGATTTAGGTGATGCAACTTTGAAGCACGAATAAAAGCAATATGTCTAAAGCAATCACTTAGAAGGAAGGGGATGCGGATTTTACCTTCATTATGGTTTTAAGCTCAAATAAGCGCTCAAACGTGCACTCCCTCACTCCCCCACCCACTCCCTCCTCCCATCCCTGCCTCCTCCTTTCCCCTGTTACAATTCATCTCCACGTGGCAGTGTACGATTGGTGCTACCCAGCCATCTCGTTCTTCGACCAATGGATGCCCCTCTTCTTTGTCCCCTCCGTTGTAAGCCCCACAACACAACAAATCTTGAGAATTCTAAGAAATATTTTCTGCAATGATTGCAATCCCCCTCGGCCCCCTCTCCACCCACCCATCCGTGCACTCACTCCCCTTCGGTCAATGTACCCATCGTCAGCACCACCTCTCTCGCTTCATAGTAGTCACAAGCCCCAACGTATGGAATGGAAACGCATCATTGCTTTCCTCCAAGTGTTCTCAATCTACTTATACTAAGTATGTTTTGAGACGTCTCAAAACATTTTTTTTTCATCCTTCTGCTTCCTTCTCTTCTTGCCCATGTCATGTGTTCCTTTTCTCCCCTCCACACCCCCTTCCTTCTCCTGCCATTCTATCCCGTCCCACCACACCACACACATTCTCCGCCTTCTCTCACCGCTCCTCTCCTCCTTTCTCGTGTCCTCCCCTCCCGCACCTCTCTGCCCTGTCACCAACCACTTGTCCCCTTCTCCCCAATCCTTCACTTCACAGGCATCAATCGCTCTCGCCCCCCTACCAACCGGACTCGCCCTGACCAAGTCTATCGCGCTCCTCCTCTCCTCCTACCTCCTCACTCTCTTCCTCTCCGCCCTCGTAGCCCGCTCTATAGGCCAGCTACTCGACTCCTGGGGCTCCTTTACTAGCAGCCTGGCGGACGGGAAGGGGAGGGGGGGGAAGCGGAAACGGGGGCCTACGGGGGACGGGAGCATGAGCGATGGGGAGAAGGTGGAGCGGATTGGGGACGCTGCGCGCATGTGGGGGAAGCAGGCCGCGCAGAAGGGCGCCAAGGCGCTGGCGCAGGCTGCCATGACCGCGGGGGAGAAGGACGTACAGCAGGTGAGGGGGGGGGGGAAGGGGGAACAAGGGGAGGGGAGCATTGGAATGCACACACACACGTGCATGTGGACACACACAGATGCACACACGTGCACGTGGACACACACAGATGCACACACGTGCATGTGAACACACACAGATGCACACACGTGCATGTGAACACACACAGATGCACACACGTGCATGTGGACACACACAGATGCACACACGTGCATGTGAACACACACAGATGCACACACGTGCATGTGGACACACACAGATGCACACACGTGCATGTGAACACACACAGATGCACACACGTGCATGTGAACACACACAGATGCACACACGTGCATGTGGACACACACAGATGCACACACGTGCATGTGGACACACACAGATGCACACAGATCGAGACGCAAACAGAGAGATGCACAGAGGGGTGGCATGAGCTACGGGGAGGGGAGAAGGTGCAGCGGATAGGGGATGCTGCGCGCATGTGGGGGAATCAGGTCGCGCAGAAGGGCGCCAAGGCGCTGGCGCAGGCTGCCATGGGTGCGGGGGAGAAGGACGTGCAGTAGGTGAGGTGGGGCGGAATGGGGGGATGGGGGAGTAGGGGGATGGGGGGATGGGGGGTTGGGTGCACTTACAGACACCACACTCGGCAGAGAGGCGCCAAGGCGCTGGCGCAGGCTGCCATGGGCGCGGGGGAGAAGGACGTGCAGCAGGTGAGGTGGGGGGGAATGGGGGGATGGGGGAGTAGGGGGATGGGGGAGTAGGGGGATGGGGGATGGGGGGTTGGGTGCACTTACAGACACCACACACGGCAGAGAGGCGCCAAGGCGCTGGTGCAGGCTGCCATGCGTGCGGGGGAGAAGGACGTGCAGCAGGTGAGGTGGGGGGAAAGGGGGAAAAGGGCGACGGGAATGCACACACATGCATGTGAGCGCACATACTACAGGCACAGACATGTGCACTTGCGCACACCGCACCACAGAGGGGCGCCAAGGCGCTGGCGCTGGCTGCTATGGGCGCGGGGCGGGGGAGCGAGATGTGGCGCAGGTGAGGGGGAGTAGGGGGAAAAAGGGGAGGGGGGCATTGGAATACACACACACACACGTGCATGTGGACACTCCCTCATTTCCCTTGCTCTCCCTTCCCTTTCTCGCCCCTCGCCCCGTTTTCCTTCGCTCCCAGCTGGCAGTGAGAGCAGCCAAGGCACTGGACAAGGTAGCCGACAGCATCAAAACGCCTGTCAGACAAAAGCTGCCGCCCCTCCCCCTCTCCTCCGCCAAGTACCTCTACCTCGCGGCTGCCCTCATGCTCTCTCCTGCGCTCCTCACCCCCGTGCCCACTGCTCCCATGGTGAGTCCACTAACTGCTTTCCCCCATGGTAACTAATTGCCTGTGTTGAGGCGTCTCTATCCCTCCCCCTCTCCTCCGCCCAAGTACCTCTACCTCGCTGCCGCCCTCGTGCTCTCCCTTGCGCTTCTTACACCCGTGCCCACCGCCCAAATGGTGAGCTCAAGCGCATCTCACGGCCTATGTTGAATTGAGATTGCAGCCTGCTGAATTGAGATTGTACATTGACCGTCACCTAGGCCACTCCATGTGTCACTTAGGCGTCTCAAGCTCTCAAGCAACCCCCTCCACTCCGTCAAGTATTGTGTTTTGAGTCGACTCAAACACCTCTACTCCGCCCAAGTGCCTCTTCCTCGCTGCTGCTCCCAACCAACCCTCTCAACTAAACAAAGCCACTGTCACCCAACGTCATGCCTCCTAAGTGGGGTTCCCTGAGCTCTCAACCACCCCCCTCTACTCCTCCAAGTGCCTCTCCCTCGCTGCTGCTTTCATGATCTCCTCCCACGGTGGTCAGTGAAGTCACCATGTTCTCCCGAGCCCACGTTCCCCATGGTGACTTCACTGACCGCCTTCCCGTCTGCTGCTGCTCCTGTTCCCGTACCCCACTCTCTGCTGTCCCGCTGTACCCCCATCGTGTCCGCTCCTTGCCTCAAAATTCGTCCTTTTGCTGTCCCGCTGTGCCCCATTGTGTCCGCTCCCCCTGCTCCTTTCGCTCATCTCGTCCTCCTCCTCTCCCCCTTCCCACTGCAGGTAGCGCCGGGCCTTCTCCTGCTCTCTATCGCCGTCTTTCAGTCCGCCAAAACGTGAGTACAATAATGCGCATCTGTCTCTTTCCCAGGTCAACACCCCTTCGCCTCCCCTCATACCCCTTCGCCTCTCCTTTCATCTCACCCCGTTGCCAAAACTAGAGTACAATGCACAGCACATCTGCCTCTTTCCCATCCCCTCCCTCCCCCAACTCCAACCCCTTTCTCCGTTCGGTTTCCTTTTCGTTTCTTTCTCGTCCACTCCACCGCATAATGCTGTACTTCATGCCTCCCAGCTCTCCTTCGCCGCTCCCTTACACCTTCGCCACTCCCTCACCCCTTCGCCGCTCCCTCACACCTTCACCCAAATACCCCCTCGCCTCCCGCTTGTCTCCTCTGCCCCATCAACCCGCTCCGCCTTCCCCTCTTCCTTTCCTCCCCTCTTCAGTCTCCCTGCCAGAGTCCGCTCGCTGCTATTCCCCACAGCAGCAGCAGGGGGCGTGATGACAACTATCATAGCCATTAATGGCTCCTTGACTGCTCTCTCTCTCCCCTCCATTTCCCCCTTTCTCCTCCCCCGTCCTTTCCCCCACTGCCCTCTTCAGCCTGCCTGCCAACGTGCGTGCTCTCCTAGTCCCCACGGTGGCAGCAGGGGGAGTGATGACGGCGCTGATGGCCATGTATGGTTCATATGCTCTTAACAACTGGCAGGCGGGCATTCGCCTCTACTCCCAGGGCGCAGGTGAGACAGTAAGGCGGGGGAGGGGTGTAAGTGAGGTGGAGGGGGGAGGGGGTGATGACAGTGATGACGTCGCTGATGGCCATGTATGGTTCATATGCTCTTAACAACTGGCAGGCGGGCATCCGCCTCTACTCGCAGGGCGCAGGTGAGACAGTAAGGCGGGGGAGGGGTGTAAGTGAGGTGGAGGGGGGAGGGGGTGATGACAGTGATGACGTCGCTGATGGCCATGTATGGTTCATATGCTCTTACCAACTGGCAGGCGGGCATCCGCCTCTACTCGCAGGGCGCAGCTGAGACATAAGGCATGGGTGCATGGGGCGCAGGTGGGGCGTAGGGCATGGGGGTGGGTGGGGCATGGGCGTGGGTGAATGGGATATGAGATATGTCATTATCTGGGAAATGGGAGGGGAGGGGAGGTGAGAGATGGGAAAAGAGGGGGGAGTGGGGGAGGGTATGCGCAGGTACGGTGCTTCTTTTGGGTGGTCCCTCACTCTCCCTCACTCCCTCACTCCCTCACTCCCTCACTCCTTCACTCCCTCGCTCCCTCGCTCCCTCGCTCCCTAAGTCCCGCACTCCCTCAGTTCGTCCTGGCGTGCAGGTACACATCCCAGCCCCCCTTCTGTATCAGCTTCTGTCGGTGCTCTATTAGAGATTTTTTTTAAAGGATCCTCTCCTTCGGCTGGCTTCTTCCTCATTCGCTCCCTCTTTGCCTTGGCTCCTCTTGTTCCCTTGTGCCCTTCCTTCTCCCTCCCCTCCTCCCTCCCTCCCACCCCTCGACCTTACATCTCCCTCTCGTCTCCAGGTGCATTTCTCGTGGCTCTGATCGGGCCTGCAGTGGGGGCGTTGGGCTTTAAGGTGCGTAGGAGAGTGCACACTCATTCCGCTGCACTCTTATCGCGGTGTACTTTCAGTCAGATTAGATTGGCTTCTAAGGTGAGGACAGATTGGCTTCTAAGGTGAGGACAGATTGCTTCGAGGACAGATTGGCTTCTAAGGTGAGGACAGATTGGCTTCTAAGGTGAGGACAGATTGGCTTCTAAGGTGAGGACAGATTGGCTTCTAAGGTGAGGACAGATTGGCTTCTAAGGTGAGGACAGATTGGCTTCTAAGGTGAGGACAGATTGGCTTCTAAGGTGAGGACAGATTGGCTTCTAAGGTGAGGACAGATTGGCTTCTAAGGTGAGGACAGATTGGCTTCTAAGGTGAGGACAGATTGGCTTCTAAGGTGAGGACAGATTGGCTTCTAAGGTGAGGACAGATTGGCTTCTAAGGTGAGGACAGATTGGCTTCTAAGGTGAGGACAGATTGGCTTCTAAGGTGAGGACAGATTGGCTTCTAAGGTGAGGACAGATTGGCTTCTAAGGTGAGGACAGATTGGCTTCTAAGGTGAGGACAGATTGGCTTCTAAGGTGAGGACAGATTGGCTTCTAAGGTGAGGACAGATTGGCTTCTAAGGTGAGGACAGATTGGCTTCTAAGGTGAGGACAGATTGGCTTCTAAGGTGAGGACAGATTGGCTTCTAAGGTGAGGACAGATTGGCTTCTAAGGTGAGGACAGATTGGCTTCTAAGGTGAGGACAGATTGGCTTCTAAGGTGAGGACAGATTGGCTTCTAAGGTGAGGACAGATTGGCTTCTAAGGTGAGGACAGATTGGCTTCTAAGGTGAGGACAGATTGGCTTCTAAGGTGAGGACAGATTGGCTTCTAAGGTGAGGACAGATTGGCTTCTAAGGTGAGGACAGATTGGCTTCTAAGGTGAGGACAGATTGGCTTCTAAGGTGAGGACAGATTGGCTTCTAAGGTGAGGACAGATTGGCTTCTAAGGTGAGGACAGATTGGCTTCTAAGGTGAGGACAGATTGGCTTCTAAGGTGAGGACAGATTGGCTTCTAAGGTGAGGACAGATTGGCTTCTAAGGTGAGGACAGATTGGCTTCTAAGGTGAGGACAGATTGGCTTCTAAGGTGAGGACAGATTGGCTTCTAAGGTGAGGACAGATTGGCTTCTAAGGTGAGGACAGATTGGCTTCTAAGGTGAGGACAGATTGGCTTCTAAGGTGAGGACAGATTGGCTTCTAAGGTGAGGACAGATTGGCTTCTAAGGTGAGGACAGATTGGCTTCTAAGGTGAGGACAGATTGGCTTCTAAGGTGAGGACAGATTGGCTTCTAAGGTGAGGACAGATTGGCTTCTAAGGTGAGGACAGATTGGCTTCTAAGGTGAGGACAGATTGGCTTCTAAGGTGAGGACAGATTGGCTTCTAAGGTGAGGACAGATTGGCTTCTAAGGTGAGGACAGATTGGCTTCTAAGGTGAGGACAGATTGGCTTCTAAGGTGAGGACAGATTGGCTTCTAAGGTGAGGACAGATTGGCTTCTAAGGTGAGGACAGATTGGCTTCTAAGGTGAGGACAGATTGGCTTCTAAGGTGAGGACAGATTGGCTTCTAAGGCGAGGACAGACAGTGTACTCAATTGGTATGACTTTTGAGAATTCTCAAGAGTACAGACAGTGTACTCAATTTGTTGCGCCCTTATTAAGGTGTGCGCTGCTGGTTGGCTATCGGAATGAGCGCAGGCGGGGCTTTAAGATTGGGGATTCTACCATCAGGGCTTGACCTTCCTCTTTGCGCCTATCCTCGAGTTACTTTTGAGAATTCTCAAAAGCCATCAGGGCTTCACCTTACTCTTTGCGCCTATCCTCTTCCTTTCTATGTGCTCCCTTGACTACTCTCCCCTTCCCTTGTCCTCACAAGTATCACAGAAAAGTTGCTGCTCCCTTCCTACCTTTCCTCCTTCTCCACCACTCTCCCCGCCTGTCCTCACAGGTATTCACGGAGAAGTCGCTGCTCAAGAGATGCCCGCTTGACCTTTCTCTCTTTCCTCCTTTCCCTCGTCCTTCCTATCCTCCTCCTCCGTTTCCCCCCCCCCCCCTGCCACCCACCACCCCCCCCTTTCCCACACCATGCTCACAGGTATTCACAGAGAAGTCGCTGCTCAAGAGATACGCGCTTGACATTGCTGCCACGTGTGCAATCATGGTGCCAATGTGAGAATGCCACGTCATCATGCCAATATAAGTCCGCCACGTCATGGTGTCAGTGCGAGTGTGCTCTATTTGACATGTTTTCTCAGGGTGTGATTTTTGTTTTCTCAGGGTGTGATTTTTGTTTCAGGGTTTTGCAAAACAGAATCTTGGTTGGCACGTTGTGCAAACATCCCCTCGTCAACGTCCCACATTTTTTCCCTTTCTCCCCCCTGCTTCTCCTCTCCCCACCCGTCACAGTCAGTTCATGGTGACAGCGCTGCTAGGGAGGCTGCTCATGGCGCCCCCCATCGTCATCAACTCGCTCATCCCCTCACACGTTCGTGCCGTGCCGTGCCGTGCCGTGCCGTGCCGTGCGCTCCTGTCCTTCCTGCATGTGTGCTCTCACACATGCATTCATGTGTGCGTTGTGTACCCGTTGTGTACCCGTTGGTCATGACGCCTAGAATCGGCCTCGAACTGCTTATAACCTCTCCTCTTCACCAGCACACAGTTCTTGCTGCTTCACAGGATGAAGCCTGCATGCTTGAGACTCACCTTGCTTCCTCTTTTTTCTCCTCTCTCTCCCCTTTTTTCTCCTTTCTTCCGTTTTTCCTCGCCCTTTCCCTCCCACCTTTCAGACCACCCTGGGTCTAGCCATTGAAATGTTGCCTCTCCTCTCTGCCAGCACAAGTGGAAAGTTGACTTTTGAGTCGACTCAAAAGTCAGCCCATCGAGATGGTGCCTCTCCTCTCTGCCAGCACAAGTGGAAAGTTGACTTTTGAGTCAACTCAAAAGTCAGCCCATCGAGATGGTGCCTCTCCTCTCTGCCAGCACAAGTGGAAAGTTAAACCATCAATTGCTGCGCTGGGTCTTCCTAACGCACTCCCCTCTACGCTCTCTTCTCTCCCCCACCTTCCCAACAGACCACTCTCGGTCTAGCCATCGAGATGGTGCCTCTCCTCTCTGCCAGCACACAGGCCTCGTGGTGGCTGCTTGGATCATGCCTCACTGCCTCTTCCCATCCCACCCCGCTTGGCCCCTTCTTTCCGTTTTCCCCTTCTCCAATCTCCCCCTCCTCCAGACCACCCTGGGTCTAGCCATCGAGATGGTGCCGCTGCTCTCTGCCAGCACAGGCCTCGTGGTGGCGGGTGTGACTATAGCAGGCACCACCGGTATTAGCACGGCCAGAACCCTCCTCGATCAGTGGAAGGTACAAATGGGGGAGGGGAAGGGGAGAAAGGGGGTGGAGAGGGGGGGTGGGGGAGGTGGTATTTGGGATACAGGGTGGGTGTGACTATAGCAGGCACCACTGATATTGGCCACCACCGATATTAGCATGGCCAGGACCCTCCTTGATCAGTAGAATGGATGAAGGTACGATCGAATGGTGGTTGAGAGGACTGAGGGGGTGGTTGTTTGGTTTACAGTGGGTAATGCAAAGGGGTGACTATAGCAGGGACCACCATTATAAGCACAGGGTGGAGGTATAAGCACAGGGTAGAGATATCAGCACAGGGTGTAGGTATAAGCACAGGGTGCAGGTATAAGCACAGGGTAGAGATATCAGCACAGGGTGGAGGTATCAGCACAGGGTGGAGGTATCAGCACAGGGTGGAGATATCAGCACAGGGTGGAGGTATCAGCACAGGGTGGAGGTATCAGCACAGGGTGGAGGTATCAGCACAGGGTGGAGGTGAATACAATGGGTTTCGGAAACAGGGCAAAGCCTCAAAGGGCAAAGCCTCAAAGGACAAAGCCTCAAGCTCCCTCTTCTCCTCCCTCGTTCCCTCCCTTTTCCCTGCACCCATCAGGTGCAGGACGCTATTCACAGGGGTCTGGCAGTCGGCATTGCCTCGCACTCCCTCGGCACCTCTGCTCTGGTACGCCTCTTCTCTTCTCATATAGCGTAACTAGGAGCAGCAACTAGGTGCAACAGCTCCAAATCGGCGGCTCGAAAAACGTTCACAGCAACTAGGAGCAGCACTCCCTCCGGTATGAAGAAGTGTTTTGAGGCGCACTCCCTCGGCACCTCAAAGCACTTCTTCATACACTAGGAGCAGCACTTCTTCATACACTAGGAGCAGCACTTCTTCATACACTAGGAGCAGCACTTCTTCATACACTAGGAGCAGCACTCCCTCGGCACCTCTGCTCTGGTAGGCATCTCAAAAGCCATACCCACCCACCTGACTGTTGTTCTGCTCTGCTCTGGTATGTGGCCTCACAGACTTAACTACCTGACTGCTTCGCATGCGCCTTGTTCCTCTCATGGTCTTCATGTTTTGAGACGTCTCAAAACGCGCCTTGTTCCTCTCATGGTCTTCCTGTTCTGAGACTTCTCAAAACGCGCCTTGTTCCTCTCATAGTCTTCGTGTTTTGAGACGTCTCAAAACGCGCCTTGTTCCTCTCATGGTCTTCATGTTTTGAGACGTCTCAAAACGCGCCTTGTTCCTCTCATGGTCTTCATGTTTTGAGACGTCTCAAAACGCGCCTTGTTCCTCTCATAGTCTTCATGTTTTGAGACGTCTCAAAACGCGCTTTGTTCCTCTCATGGTCTTCGTGTTTTGAGACGTCTCAAAACGCGCCTTGTTCCTCTCATGGTCTTCATGGCACGAAGTCGGTCAGCAGCAGCCAAGTTTTGACTTGTCCAAAAGCATTGGCCGCCCGCCTTTGGCGTTTCTAAATGTATTCGTTACCCAGTTTCACGTCCTCTAAAAGAAGTCAATATTGTTTATTGCCTGATGTTCGCCCATTTCCCTTGGTGCCATTTCTCCTGTTTCAGGTTGCAGAGGAGCCTCGCTCTGCTGCGGGTAAGACGGGTGCAGGTGTTGACTGGTGCAGTAGTAGTGGGGCAGGTGTGCAGGTGTTGTCTGGCGCAGGTGTTGTCTGGTGCAGGTGTTGTCTGGCGCAGGTGTTGTCTGGCGCAGGTGTTGTCTGGCGCAGGTGTTGTCTGGCGCAGGTGTTGTCTGGCGCAGGTGTTGACTGGTGCAGGTATGAATTTTGCAGGTATGTAGTAGACATATGAGTCGACTCAAAAGTCACCTCTGTAGTAGACATAACAACCTCACTGCCCAGGGTAACCACGTGATCAAAGTGAAATTTTGAGACGTCTCAAAAAATCACTTTTATTACGTGCCTACCAGTCTCACAAACCATAGCAGGTAAGTTCCAAAAATGCAACTGTTTCCGTAGTGAGTTGCTATCCAGTGTCAGGTCTTTGCTATCGATGGCATGCTCAACTTTCTCCTCATCATCACCATCCCCATGTCCTTTTGAGTCGACTCAAAAGTCACCTCATTTGCACTACTCTTTACCCATCTTCCTCTGTATCCCTCCCTTCTCCCCCCATCCCTCTTCACCATCCAGTGTCAGGCCTGGCCTTTGCTCTCAGGGGCACACTCAGTGTTATCCTCATCTCCATCCCGGCATTTTCTCTCTTCTCTCTCATGATGGTGTCCCTAATCCCTGACTTCTCTGCCCTTTTCCCTTCCCTCTCCCCATCGCCCTCTGTACCCATCTCCCCTCCCCCCATGCAGTGTCAGGCCTGGCATTTGCTCTCAAGGGCACACTCAGTGTTATCCTCATCTCTATTCCTGCCTTTCGGATTGCTCTGCTTCAATTGGCTGGCACTGCCTAATTGCATTCGTACAGTGCCATCTCATTATTCAGTTATGTTTTGTATGTGTAGATCCAAATGACATTTATTTAAGCTGATGAGTACAGCAGTACAAGCAGCAATGTAGGCACAATAAAATCACATCAATGTCTTGTTTGTTTTTGTACGTCCCTCTATTGTTCCACCATCTACACCTAACCGGCGTCCCCCAAATACAGCTGATATGTTTAACCAAAAGGTGATTTTCTTCAACAACAGGTACAAAGCCGCAACGAAGCAACTAGAACATGTTGAATAAGAGCAATACAATGCAAAAGAAATCAATGAACAAGTCATAAAACAGTACCGTATGCAAATGCCATCACGCGGTTTAAGGCAGTGTCGTCCTTGTAAGGAGGATGTGCACCTCCTCATCACCTCTTCCTATCACTTCTGCACCAGCAGCACCTGCTCTTGCTACTCCTTATGTGCTGATGTTTCTGCAGCAACACCAGCAGCAGCAGCAACACCAGCAGCAGCAGCAACAGGTGGAGCAGCAGCAGCAGCAGCAGCTGGTACGGCTGTAGCAGCGGCGGGTTCTATAGCAGGTGGAGTAGAAGGGACGGTTGTAGCAGTAGCAGGTACTGTCGCAGGCAGAGCGCAAGGGAGAGCAGTAACAGCAGGAGTTGCAGCTGTAGCAGGGCTAGGAGCAATGGCTGTGGCAGGATTAGGAGGAGGTAAGGATGTAGCAGGACTGGCAGGGGCTACGACTGTAGAGTGCTGAGAAGGATGGCTGGCAGGAGTTGGGATCCTGGCAGCAGAAAGAGCTCCTGTAACCGCAGGAGCTGCTGTTGGCCTCGTTACAGTGGCAGTGGCACCACCTGGTACAGTCACAGTTGTAGCACCGGCTACAGCAGCACCTGCAGTGGCTACACTTGTAGCACCACCTGTTACACCCGCAGCATTGGCCACAGTTGCATTGGTCGCGGTGGTAGCACCAGGTAGGGTTGGTGCTGCACCTGCCGTCGTTGTCACATGCGCTACAGGCGCAAATTGACCATGTCTCCGCGACTTTTGAGGCGAATCAAAAGTCGCAGCACCTGGCGTCATTGTCACATGCGCTACAGGTGTAAATGGTACATGTCTCGGCGCCACCCTAAGCGGACTTCGCAACATCAAGGGTAATTTACCCCCGTTTTGAGCCGCCTCTGTACCAGGGCTCGCCCTGGGTGGACTCACCAATAATCTGGGTGATTTACCCATCGGTGATGTGCTGGGTGGGCTCCTAACACCGGAAAGTGCACTGGGGGTGGGATCAATGGGAATGCTAGCACTCAGCTTGGGACTGGGAACAAGGGGAATGCTACTAGCAGTAAGCCTGGGGCTGGGCACTCGAGGCAGCCTGAGAAGGTTGGGGATCCTGCTGGGGCTGACAACAGATGAAGATGAACCAGCAGCGGCAGTGGGAGCATTAGTAGCAGGGGTAGCAGCAGTGCTGTGAGGTGTGGTGCTGTGAGGTGTGGTGCTGTGAGGTACATTGGCAAGCAAAGGAAGCACCAGCGCTGGTGGTCGCTGATGTGGCAGCAGTTGTTGTTGCTGTGGTGGTTGCTGTTGCTGCTGTTTCTGCTGTTGCTGTTGCTGCTGTTGCTGCTGCTGCTGTTGCTGCTGTTGCTGTTGCAACTGTTGCTGCTGCTGCTGTTGCTGTTGCTGCTGCTGCCATTGCTGTTGCTGCTGTTGCTGCTGTTGCTGTTGCTGCTGTTGCTGCTGTTGCTGCTGCTGTTGCTGCTGTTGCTGTTGCTGCTGCTGTTGCTGCTGCTGCCATTGCTGTTGCTGCTGCTGCTGCTGTTGCGGCTGCTGTTGCTGCTGCTGCCAATGCTGTTGCTGTTGCTGGTTGAACGGGTGCTGCTGAAACTGCTGCTGTTGGTGCTTTGACTGTAACTGCTGTTGCGGTGGTGGTGCGTGCTGGTGCGGTTGTGGTGGGTGCTGGTGCGGTTGAGGTGGGTGCTGGTGTGGTTGAGTGGGGTGCTGGTGTGGTTGAGGTGGGTGCTGGTGTGGTTGTGGTGGGTGCTGGTGTGGTTGGGGTGGGTGCTGGTGCGGTTGAGGTGGGTGCTGGTGCGGTTGAGGTGGGTGCTGGTGCGGTTGTGGTGGGTGCTGGTGCGGTTGTGGTGGGTGCTGGTGCGGTTGTGGTGGGTGCTGGTGCGGTTGTGGTGGGTGCTGGTGCGGTTGTGGTGGGTGCTGGTGCGGTTGTGGTGGGTGCTGGTGCGGTTGTGGTGGGTGTTGTGGCTGGCTTGGTACCAAGAGAGGAGGAATCTTCAGCAGCGGTTGATTAGCGCGTCTAAGTTGACTGGGTTGACCAGCTGTCTTGGGTTGACTCAGTTGACCGGATTGACTTGGTTGGCCGGGCAGACCGGCAACACTAGGAGACTGCACCAACGATGCCAGCGATTGTGAAAGCTGACCTGTCACACCCCCTTGCTGATCTGTCAAAGGCGCCTGATGACCTGTCCAGTTTGGAGCATGGGTGTTATGTGGGGGGGGTGTGGTTTGTGGTGATGTGTGTGGTGATGTGGTGTGTGGTTGTGTGTGCATACAGTAGCTACCACAGTTTTGGGGAGTTTTTAGCTGCTGTTGTGTGGAAGACTGCAGGATAAACTGCTTCTGCTGCTGCTGAGTCGAAAGCTGGAAGATAGTCTGTGGTTGCTGCTGTTGCTGCTGCTGATGCGGCTGTTGCTGCTGTGCTTGCTGCTGCTGCTGATGCGTCTGTTGCTGCTGGTAGTAATAATTCTGTTGCTGGTGTTGTGGCTGCTGTTGATGGGGAGGAGGAGCAAGGGGGGGATGGTTAGAAGGAGGATGAGTAACGGAAGGAGGAAGAGGAGGATGAGCAGGAGGAGGAGGAGGTAGTACTAGTGTGGGTGAGAAATGCTGTTGGGTGACTGTGTGTGTGTGCTGCTGCTGCTGCTGGTTGCTTGTCTGGTTGACTTGATGCTCCTCTAGGCTGTGTGTCTGGTTTGCAGGGTGTTGCAGCTGGGGGTGTGTGGGGGGTACTGGCTGATAGGCGGGAACCAACACATAAGCTTGCTGATGAGAAGTGGTGGGAGTGTAGTAATGTGGCTGGTACTGCTGCTGTTGCTGTTGCTGTTGCTGTTGCTGCTGCTGTTGCTGTTGCTGTTGCTGTTGCTGGTGCTGGTGCTGCTGCTGCTGCTGTTGCGGTGGCTGTTGCTGTGGCTGCTGCTGCTGTGGCTGCTGCTGCTGCACATAAAACTGCTGGTGCTGCTGCAGCGTGGAACACACAGCAGCACCAGCAGCAAGCGGATCAGGAGGAGCAGAAGAAGCAGCAGGAGGAGCAACGAGAGGGGGATAAGAGGCAGAGGGAAGCGGAGCAGGAGGAGACGCAAGAGAGGGAAGAGAAGCAGGAGGAGGAGAAGCGAGAGAAGGGTGAGGCACAGGAGGAAGCAACGCAGAAGTAGGCTGGGCGGGGGTTGCAGGTACCCGAACAGCACCAGCAGCACCGGCAGCACCGGCAGCACCGGCAGGACCGGCAGCACCGTCAGCACCGGCAGCACCGGCAGCACCGGCAGCACCGGCAGTACCAGCAGCAGCAGAAACACTACCGGCAGCACCGGCAGCACCAGAAACACTACCGGCAGCAGCATCGCCAGCACAATGAGCAGCAGAAGCATCAGTGTTGCACATCCAGGGCACGAGCATGTTGATTCTCTCCTGCAGCTGCACCTGCATGGCGTCTATCTCCAGCTTCAACGCTGCCTTCTCCTGCCGCAACTCCGACTTCTCACTCGCAAGCTGGTGGCACAAACGGTCATGCAAAGGAGGGGAGGAGCGGGGGACACACACGGGCACATTGATTCTCTCCTGCAGCTGAGCCTGCATCGTCTCGATCTCCAGCTTCATCGCCGCCTTCAGTTCAGCTTCAGTGCCGCCTTCTCCTGCCGCAACACCGACTTCTCTGACCCGAGCTGGGGGTTGAGGGCAATGCAAATGGGGAGAGGGAGAGAGGAAAGCACATGGCACATGACACATGGCACTTGATTTGTTCCCGCAGCTGAGCCTGCACGGCTTCTAACCCCATCTTTTGAGTCGACTCAAAAGTCACCTTCTATCTCCAGCTTCAACGCTGCCTTCTCCTGCCGCAGCACCGACCTCTCAATCGCAAGCTGGAGGGGAAAAGGTGATGCAAACAAGGAGAGGGGAGGGGCGGAGGAGGGTAGGAGGCGAGGAGGGGCGGAGGGGAGGAGGGGATGAATGAACATATTCCCAAAAATCAACGTGCCGTATTGCTCTGTACCGCACTGCACCCACCTCTTTGAACTTGTCCAGTGGTGCAGGGTGGTCGGACCGGAGACGACACACGCTCAGCCTTGGTTGCCTGCCGCAGCATAACCAAGCCATCGCCCAGATTGGTCGCCTACCGTGCCGTACCGCTCTGTACCGCAGTGCACCCACCTCTTTGGACTCGTCCAGCAGAGCAGAGTAGTCGGAGCACAATCGGTGCACGCTGAGCCTTGGCTGTCAGTCAGAGCATTACCAAGTCTTGAGGCGCGACTTTTGAGACGAATTTTGAGGCGCCACTTTTGAGACGAATTTTGAGGCGCCACTTTTGAGACGACTTTTGAGGCGCCACTTTTGAGACGACTTTTGAGGCGCTTCGAAAGTCATCTTTTGAGGCGCCTCAACAATTGGTGCACGCTGAGGAGCATCACCAAGCCATCGCCCACAATCGGTGCACTGCACTGCACCACGTACTACTGTGTACCACCAACCACCGTACCATGCCATACTGTACCGCTCTGTACCGTACTGCACCCAACCCACCTCCTTGGACTCGTCCAGCAGAGCAGAATGGTCGGAGCGCAGGCGACACACGTTGAGCCGTAACTGTTGCAGCACCACCAAGCCATCGCCCAGAATGGTCGCCTTGTCATTCTTCGGCCGCTCGGGGTCTGCCCATTTGTGTGTGCATGTCATGTTATGCCATGCCGTGTGTGCATGCCATGCCATGCCACCCATGCGTACATGTCATGCCACGCCATGCCATGCCATGCGTGCAGTATGGGAACCGAAAACGATGCAGAGAGGACAAGAGGCAAAGATAAGAATGGGATCATGGCGGGTGGGGGCTGGAAAGAGGGGAGAAGGGGGGGGGAAGAGGGAGGAGGGGGAAAGGGGGCCAAGGATAGGACAGTAAGCGGGATGCCAAACGGGAAAGTCGGAAGGGGAAGTGAGCGGGGAAAGGGAAGGGGGGGTAGGGCAATGGGTGGCGTGGCGCGCAGGCTAGTTTTGAGTCTACTAAAAAATGGGTGGCACGGCGTGCAGGCTTGCACACTTCACTACAGTTTGCTTGCTTTGCAAACAGTAACCACTATTCTACGAAATATCCAGACATGCTACGTTTTTTTAGGCGCCTCGCCTCGTCTCAAAAGTTTGCGTGCTTTGCAAATAATAACCATTTCTCTACAAGGTATCCAGACATGCTCCCGTTTTTCATCTACCGGTATCAGACGTGCTTTGCAAACAGTGACCACTTTTCACTTATCCAGACGTGCTCCGGTTTTCCATTAAGCACTTCAGCAGTTTCCGCGGACTAGTTGCGGAGGCGCAGGGAAGGGGGAATGGGGAAACGGGACGGGAAAAAGTGTGAACGCGGGGAAGGCAGAAGGGAAACGAGACGCGCTCAGCACCACAGCGAGCGCGCTGACGTGATCCGATCCGAGGGGAAGAAGCGGCTCAGTGACGGGGGAGCGGAATGCGCGGAAGCGGAATGAGCGGAAGCGGAAAGGAGCATGGCAGGGGAGAGGGACGCACTCAGCACGCCCACGAGCTCCGCGGAAAGCGGGAAAGTGGGAAAGCGGGAAAGCGGGGACGAGAAGGCGGAAAAGGAAGCGAGGCGCACTCAGCGCGGTGGCGAGCTCCGCGAATTGGTCGCTGAGGCGGTCGCGAGGGGGGAGGAGAAGGGGAAAGTCGCGGAAGAGGAGGCGCAAGAGGGGAAAGGCGCATGGGAGAGGGGAGAGACGCACTCAGCACGGTCGCGAGCTCCGTAAATTGGTCGTTGAGGCGGTCGCGCCGCAGCTTCTCGCGGTCCGCCTTGTGCACCTTGCGCATACTCGTCATAGTCACATCATTCGCCGTAATCGACCCGACAACTAAACCATGGCGGATTTTGCCGGCTGCACCATTTCCGCCGAAACCAGCTCCCGCCACCGCCGCCGCCGCCTCCGCGGACGCTGCTGCCAGCCCTCCGCCGCCGCGCTCCGTCGCGCGCGCGGTCGATCTTTTTGTCCCTCCGTTTCCCTCCGCGGAGATTCCCGTCGATTCCGATTCCGTGTGGCGGCTCGGGTAACGCGCCGCGGTCGGACCCGTCTGACCCCAGAGCGCGCTTGCAAAATCGCGCGTCGCCCCGGGCGGCCCGGCAGTAACCACGCCGCTTTCGCCATGAAGCCCGCCGCTGATTGCGCCGTCGAGGAACTCAATCTGTGAGGACTCCCTCTCTCCGTAGAAGCCAGCTCCGCCTGCTCCGCCCATTAGGTTCAGCGCGACACTCGGCGGCGAATGCGGCGGTGAATGCGGCGGTGAATGCGCCGCTGAATGCGGCGGCTTCCTTACACAGTCCACGCGGGGTTTCTTTCCTCCTCCTCCTTCTCCCCCTCCTCCGCCGCCGCCGCCCCCGCAACCGCCACCACCGCCGCCGCCGCCGATCGAGCAGAGGCCGTCCGAAAAGCCATACGAGCTGCGATCGACGGAGCCGGAGCCGCCGGTGGCGCCGGAAACCCCGCTAGTTGCGGGCGCGGCAGCAGCGATGGCGTCCTTACAACCGCCGTAAGCACTACTAAAGTAGTAGCAGCCACGTCCCCCGCCGCCACTTCCGGCGCCACTGTCGCCGCCAATCTCGTCGCACCCACCGTCCGCCGAAGTCGGACCCATATGATTCACGAGCTAAAACCGCCAAATTGTCAGGTCTCTGCGGTTACCTCCTAGCTCGTAACCGCCCAGCTTCTCACCGAGAATCCGGGCATGAAAAATCGCCACGTGGCGAAAAAAACGGGAGCCCCCGAGTGTGGTTAAGAAATACCTCCTAAAGAAGGCCTCCTAGACAAGCACAGCTTACGAGTTGCATTACTACTAAAGCCCTAGTTGGGTCTCAATGTCCCGAAGCGCCTTCGAAATTGTTTTGTACTACGTATCTTCCTAGCACCGCCAAATCAGAGCGGGTTGGGCATACGACTATGAGTAGCAGCGGCGCGGGCTGTTTACGATTTTTTCCAGCGACTCTCACGGAAGGCACGAAGAGACATGAGCATCTAGGCGCACAGCTGTG